CTTTCCTGAGAAACAAAGACATGACCAGCAGACTCTCACCCTCTTGACGTCCTGCAGAGCAGCTTCTCCTCTCTGCTTGCTGCGACAGGCCAGGATCACTCTGGCTCTTCTTTTAGCCAGCTCTATGGCCGTGGTCTTCCCTATGCCAGTGTTGCTGCCTGCAGGTGGAAAGAGGTCAAAAACCTAAAGCACATCATTGCTACAAAGCAGAAACTTTACCTACCTGTAACTATCACCGTTTTCCCATGCAGCTTTGCATTGCTCTTGCAGCTCTTTCCTATTACCACAACTTGACGGAAAATATAAGCGAGGACGACGAGTCCCAGCACCAGGAGGATGTAGAACATTGTTCCTGCCTTTGAGCTACACTGAGGAAGTAGTGAGAGCCGATGCAGGGTTCACTCGCTCTTATTCCAGCAAACAGCCTCTTCCTGAAGGGGCTGGACTCAGGAAGAGTCACACCCCTTAATCAGATTGCAGCAGAGAACAAAACCGGAAATTCTTAAGAGTTGGGCCGGCCCACGTAGCTGCTTGTTGACAGATCCAACAGGCCTGATATTCATAATGCCGGGTGTGTTTTGTTGAGTCATTCCAGAACAATATAGTTGAACTCTGCTCCAGTGGTCTGAGAATATAAAAAATGCCAACACTGGAAGAAGCTGGGAGTAAAATTACAGCAATATTTAATTCTATTGTCATAATATTCAAGTGTTTCTTTTTATTTATTTATTTTTTGCTCCAAGCCAAAGCATAGAATAAAATTCTCATCAGTGACACAAAGTTCACATTTGAAGGAGATAAAAATAGTTACTACTTATCTTTGGTGAACTGCCATTAAATCAATCAGGATCAACAGTCAATGTCTGAATGTGGGACAAAAGTTTTCACACCCCTTGAATTTTTTCACATTTTACTTTAGAAGAATTTCAAATGTCAGCATTTTTTTTAAAGGCTTTGTTGGCTCTAGTGGCCTTTATTTGATAGTAGTTTGACAGGAAGTGGAGGCAACGAGAGAGAGGAGACATGTGGCAAATGTCGCCAGGCTGGGAATCGAGCCTGCGACCACCGCTATGAGAACTAAGGCCTCATTACGTGGGTCGTGCTTTGCCCCTGCACCACCACAGCACGCCCAAATGTCTGCATTTTTGATTAGAACTCTGAGACAGACCAACACAAATCCATAAGTGTGAAGTGGAAGAAAAATTATGAATATTTTTTATTTATTTTTTTTATATACATTTTTTTTTTTCACTGCAAAACTTGCATCAAGTTTTTAGGGAAATCGCTCCAACTGACTATCCCTTATGTGTGCGAGGACTGAGGCAAATGATACAAGTTTTACATGTGTGAGGTCGGTTGGACCCCATTTCTAAACACAAGGGTTAAGTATGTCTTGTTTTTTATCTGTATTTTATTTGGTATTTTACTGCCAATTTTATTGTATTTTTTTATTGAACTGAAAACGAGTTATTGTGACAACGGCTTTCTTATCAACTTATGGTGAAGTGCATTGATTCAGTAGAGTGCTGTATTATTACAGAGATATTTTTTTTCTTATTTTTATATATAAACTCTTCCTGTTTTGTGTTTAAAGATGCATCCACACGAGTGGTTGGTTGATGCATAGTTGTTTATATTATTGCAAATTCACTTTCGAGAGGAGAGACTAAATGTACAAATTATAAAATTTTGTAAAAATTTTGTAAATTGTAAAACTATTTTTACAGATGAAAAAAGAAACTGAAAATTATGTGCAAAAGTATTCAGCCCCATTTTCTCAGAGTGCAACCAGTTGCCGTTAGAAGTTGCCTGATGGCTGCTAATACTTTTGCAAGCCTGTTAAATTGCACACCGCTTGGTGTTGGTCTTTCACATTAAATTCTTACAAAACATATTTATGGTTGTAATTGTGACAAAATATGGAAAAGTTCTTGAAAACTTTTCCAAGCCACTGTAAGATTTTTTTTCTTCTTTAAACTGTAAATGAATGGAATAAACAAATAATAATAAAAATTATATAAATGCCAGAATAGTGGAGATAATGGTTACTACTGAGATGATCTAATCTGATTACATGGACATGAGTCTATTGTGAATGACGGCGCTAATTTTAGCTTGTTTAACAGTTCATTATTAAAGTTATCTAATGTCCTAATAGAAGAAACAAGCTTGTGTCTCTCAGCTTAAAGAATTTGTTGCTGGTTGTTGGCAGTGTTGTGCAATCTTCAATAAGTAGCATAAAGGTTAGTTTGCTCATTGGTGAACCATGAACATGGTAATAATTCATGTTCATGGCTGAACTACGTGCATGACGATAATTAATTAGCTGAACTGTGTACACAGTGCTAATTCATGTTCATGAGTTGAAAAGCAGCTAAAACGAGAATCCCCAGTTTATCCTAAACATATGAAACGCAGTTCGACCTCTTCATTTACCCGATCACATCTGCTGCTTCGACATTTTCAAATTTCTGATCAATACCAGATTATTTACAGCTTTTTAGCATTGATTATCTCTGTTGATGTGCTCTCTAGCCTAACATGGAGAATTTTTAAAAAACTTTTATTAGTTTTTGTTATCGGGAATCAGGTTTATGGGTCCACATTGTCAGCACTCTTAACCTGTACCCAGATAAAATGAGAACCACATCTATGCCCTCATTCATACCAAAGATAATGACAAATGCAGCAATGACTGAAGGACTTTTTTCTAGTTTCCCACAATGCACTTTCCTCCACTGTGCCGTGTCATGTTTGAAGATAAATTGGCGCACCTGAGCTGATAACAATAGCTGTGTTTATTTAGGCAGGTACGAGGATAATGGTTCAACTTTGCTCTGTTGTTTTTGTCACATCAGCTTTTAGTCCGTCATCTTAAAGGATGAGAACGGCAGGTCTTGGTCTGGAACATAAACCAGTAATAACCCAGCTGCAGCGTTTTCTGATTTTCCTTTTAA